TTTTACAACACGCATGCAATTTTATTTTACATTTAAAAGAGGTAAGTAAATAGAAGAATCAATTTTAGCTGCTCTGAAATTTCATATTGGGTCATTAATTTTAAAAGATGGGACTTCAATAATAGTTAAAAGAACAGAGGCCCAAGGGTAAAGACTGAGAATAATCACCTTCAAAATTCTGAATTATCAGCAGCCTCAGATCAGAACTAAGAGAAGTCTAAACTTCACCACCTGTTTTACATTTAATTCTAGGTTCATATAGAACTTCCTACTACACCAAGAGACAACCTTTTCTTCCCCTAAAGCACGAGAATTTATTCCATGTGCTGAATACGAGGAAAGACTGCGGCAAAACCAAGCTAAATAAAATAAAAATCTGTCCTCTAAGCTACACCTAGGATTCAAGATGTGAGACATGTGTCTCATCATCTCTGAGGTGAACACAGAGAGATAAACATCAGAGAGCATGAGAAAGATTGAGCAACAGGTGAATAGGCATTAGAGGGAAAAGAAGAGCTGGAGAGGCCTCCTAACAGAGATGACACTGAGACCTAATCTGAAAAAATCACTAGTTTCTCAAAAGGAATTCCTTATCTACCACACTTTCAGCACAGGTATTCAGTCCAAGATAAAGACTGACTAATGTATCTCTTTTGAAATAATTATCAAAGTTATAGGATTAAGGTTTTGCCTTTTTGGGTAATGTGAATTCAAGGAACACCACAAAGTTGTGGTATTAAAATTCTCCAAGCCTCAATTTACACACCTGTAAAAACAAGATTATAGCGTTATAATATGACAATGTGTAGAAAACAACTGACAGTCCCTGGCACAGAACAGTTTCTATCTTGATTGAAGCAGAATATTACTTTACATTAATAAAGTTTAACTATTCAACTTTTATTACTGTTTTTATGCATTCTGATCAGTTTCCTATCTCTGGCTTTTTTTTTCTTTCTGAGCAAAGAAGTGGTCACTGAGTAAAGAACTACAAACACTTTATGCTGCTGAGATACTTCCCAGAGTAAATGTGTGCTTTTAATTTTAGCTACAGTAAATTTACGTATTGGCTTTACATCAGAATTTTTCTAATAATTTCCATGATTCTATTTAAATCTTATCAGACACCTTTTGAGCATTATTTTTAAGTGATGCTGAAATATAATTTCAGGTTTACTGAAATATAATTGATATGTCGTAACATTCACCCATATAAACTGGCACAAACAACCCAGTTTTTAGGATATTTGACAAGCTGGCGACCATCCTGACAAACAACACAGAATACTGTCCTTACCAAAAGAAACCTTATACTACTTAGTAGTCACTTCCCATTTTCTTACAACTTTTTCCATGGCCCCCACCTTGTTCACCTATGGCCCCAGACAACTATTGTTTTTTGTATCTCAAACATAGATTTGCTTGTGCTAGATATTTTGTACAAGTGGAATCATGCAATCTGTGGTCTTTTGTAGCACGCACCGGTACTTCCTTTTGGTTGCTTAGTGATGGTCCACTGTGCGTATGCGTATGTGTGCATTAACACATTCTGTATCCTTTCATCAGCGATACACATGTGAGTCGCTCCTACTTCTTGACTATTCCAGCTAATCCAACATACAAAATTGTATGTTGAATATGTTTTCAATTCTCTTGGGGAAGTATTTGCATAGGTATGGAATTTCTGGTTATATGGTAAATATGTTTATTCATTTATTTTTTTGAGGAACTGCTACACTGTTTTCTCAGTGGTTGTACCATTGTGTAATCTGAGCAAGAGTGCAGGAGGGTCCTAGTTTCTCCAGATGCTCATCAGCACATGTGGTTTTCTGTTCTATGCTTGCATTTTTATGTTTTGAGAAAAAATGTTTAACTCAAGATTAAAAAATTCATGCCTATGTTTTCTTCTAGGAATTTTATAGCTTTACTCTTTTAAATAGACCCTTCCAGAGTTAAGTTTTGTATGTTAGGAAGTAGAGGTTCAGTAATACTTTTGCATGTGTATATGCACCATTTGTTGAAAGACTGATGTTTTCCCAATTTAATTGTTTTCGCACCCTTGTCAAAAATTTAATTTACCATAAATGTGAGATTTTATGCTGACTAGTATGTCCCCATTAAAATAATTTAATTAATTAAATTATTTTAATTAAAATAATTTAATTAATTAAATTATTTTAATTAAAATAAATTATTGTAATTAAAATAATTATTATTCCTATATTTGTGTAGAATAAAACATTTGAATCTATAGAAGCTCAAAAAAAGTAAAAGAAACATTAATCCTACTGCAGTACAGGAAACAACTAATCCCAATTCTTCAGGCTCCTGCAGTAACATATACTCTCACCCTTACCCATGGCCTTATGAAAAGTAGAATGTGCTTTGGGCCTTGGCCTTATGACAGTGGGCTTGACTGTGCCATTTACTGTGACCCCGACAGACATCCTTCAGTGTGTCATCAACTGATACTTAAAATGTGCTTGTCCAGTTGGTCTTTTACATTTTTTTTACTGTCATCAAGAAAGAAATATGCTCTGGGTAGCCACCGGTTCCAAATGATAGGAATAAACCCAAGCCTGCTCTGTGAGCGGAGGTCAAACCCAAGATAGACGAAATAAAATCAAAACTCAGACATGCAGGCCAGAAATAAATGCTTATCACTGTTTATCACAGACACTTGTGGTTGTTTATTCTGTAGCAATAGCCAATATATTTACCACTTAGAGATAACCTATCAGTCTTATCATCTGACCAAGAATGAGCTTATGAGAAAAATACTGTATATATATTGTCCTATTGTTTGTACTTATTATTTTTCTATAATACCCTGTGCTACTAAGAACTTTAAATAAATACTTCTTTTAAGATCCATGTATTATTTCAACCTTAAGAAGTCATATGTGTCTCTTAACCATCTTTATATTACTTTCACTATTACAAGTAAAGGTACAAGGAGTTTCATTTTTCTCTCTTTTGTATAAATCTTGGTCTACATTACACATTATTTCCACAGAATGGATTCTTAGAAGTAGAAACCTTTAAAAACCTCATTCAACATGAGCATGACAGAGAACCACTGAATTATTATTTCTATGTTACCATTCAGATTTCACCTATGATATTTGGCCAAACACACACTGTTTTTTTTTTTTTTTCTTAAGGGTTACAGACAAATTTGATTTTATTTTTGAAAAACTGCTTTTGTCAATCCTTCCAGCATGTTGCACTGTACATGCTGTTGGGCATTTACATTTTATTGTGAACAGCAAAACTAATGTCATAAAAATTATATAAATGTCTGCCTCTTTTGTATCCTTTGGGCTCATACACAAGCACGGTCTGTGGGGTTTTGTGGGAGTGGCGCTGTTGGTAGATGATCATATGGCCAATAAGGTGGTAAGTTTCTGAAAACATTCAGAGCACCTGGCATAGGGCACAACTGCATTCAGTGACTCGTGTGTGTGTGTGTGTGTGTGTGTATACATATTTATGTGTGGAGAGACAGAAAACATAAGAATTAAAACGAACATGACAGCACACTTTCAAGCCAAAAACGATTAACAAGCATATTTCAGCTTCTTTGATGACAAATATTCTACAATTAAAACTAGATACGCAGTATAGGCTAGATATTGTATACTATGTCTAAACTTTCTGGGTGCCTCTCAGCAAAGAGATATGCCTTATTTTACTTCCCATTTTCCCAAGGAAAATCACATTTTTCAGGTCATCAAACTGATTGATGCAGTTCCATTTTGGCAACTGCTTGAATGATTACGATGGGAACACCAAGAATACGCGCTGACTACCTACGCGGCCCGGCACCTGAGCCTGGCAGCGTGTTCTTCATTACCCTCATTTTTTCTTCATGTTTCAAAAAAAAAAAAAAAAAACACCAATGGTCTAACCTTGACAACTGGCCCTGAAAGTCTGTTGGGAAGGATGTTGGCCCTTTACTACCAAAGACTCACACTCCTGTTTGTTTTGGAATAGGGGATCCTACATCATACATCCCTGGGGCAGAGCCTGAAACGTCCCTTCTTTCAAACAGTTATTAATACCAGGTTCAGACATTAAGTATGATTCTTATCTATTCTCCCCTCAACCACACTTTGATTTTTTTTTTTTTTTACACTCCTACTTCTGCAAGTCACTCACCTTGAAATTCTCTACAGTGATCTTCGCAGAAGTGGAACAGAGTGCAGCAAAATCCAAATAAGTCTGCATAAATGCAAGCACACTGAGGTGCTACTGTGGGATTTGGGAAATGACTGAGGGAAAAGTTCACGGAGTGTACCACAACCAACACTGCCACCGTCAGTTTGTGACAGTGAGTCCATCTAGGCTACAGACCCGTACATTCCCCTCATATACACATGCGTACACACACAGATATACCTACCTGAGTGTACAAGATCTTCAGACAAAGCAGAGGAGGGCTAAGGACATTCCTGAATGCTTGAGAACTGCTCCTCATGCTCATAATGGAGGGAGCAGAATATTCCTCAGGGCCTATTTCTTGTCAAAACTAATGTCTAATATCGGATAGGCCATGAGTCACCATAGCTACTCTATCCAATGGGGCACATTAAAACACAGACACTAGACATAGGGTGCTTTAGAGTGGTCACAAAAGATTTGATTACCTTGTTGCCATGAGCAAAAGTTAATTTCTACCCCTCAAGTGAGCAAACCAACTCTGAAAGGAGGAGAAAATGCAGACAAGACAAGGAGAGAAAATACAGACAAAACGGTTATCAGATAGGGCCTATCTGCACATGAGAGATCCTTGCATTTCACACAGTCTAGTCATTGCGAGTTGCAGGACGGCTGGCCTATAATTGCTGTCTTCTTACAAATCTTCCTCATTATTTGCTTAGAGAAGTCACATTGCCATCTAACTGCAGAAGAAACTGTCTGTGATGATGAAAGAGCAGAGAACCTCCTCAGAGTCAAAAAGCAAACTTAGAGATAAGGTTCATTTCCACTGCCCAGCTGCTGCCTCTGATTGCATGACCACTGCGCTTCTCCGTAAGTGGGAATCAAATGCTTGGTTCATTGGAGGGTGAGCAGATAAATATCATTTTTCTATGACACAGGTTGTAGTTATACCCTAGGGAGGGTAGGAAAAATGAGAATTGATGACTTACAAATAAAAGACAAACTTTTAAATAAAGAAAAAGGAAGAAGGAAATCCCTTATTGCTGTTACTAGAAAAGACGTAACTATTAATAATGCTACCAAATTTGCATTAGGCAGATCACCGGGAAGATTCTGGATATAGTTTTGTATTTTTTTTTTCTTTTTCTTGGTTAAGTAACATATGCAAACCTGTACCAAGTTGAGTTTTACTAAAATAATACCTATAGTTTAGTTAATGATTATAAAAATATGAGACATTTATTTTCTACTGCTCCAGATTCTTTATACAATTAAGATAAAATCATACAGTCTTCCAAAATTTCCTAGAAAATATGTGAGCTTAGAAAATAAAGTATAAGGTATACTCATGAAGAAGTTTCAGAGTTAATTTTATAAATTATAAATGAAGAAACAATCACAAAAAGGAAATGATAGCATTGTATATAACTGAAGGCATTACATTTTTTGTTTCTGGTGGAAGTTCTTAAATTTCCAAAACTGTTTTATCTAAGATGCACAAAATACTGCTGAAAAGTCTCACTTAATTTAATGCTCACCAATTTAATTAGTTACCCCAACCAAAATAAAATGTATTTCCATGTAGCAATAAGTGAAATAGAACAAAAAAAAAAAAAAAAACTAACAGAAAAGGCAAAGAAAATAGAGGAAAGTAAAATCAGTATTTTAATAGTCTATGAAGCTTAAACTCAAATAGATGAAGATGCTGTGTTTTTATAGCTATACTACATATTTGATATTCAATTTAATGAATTGTCAAATGATTCCTATTTTTATGAATACACCCTCTTTCAAAAATAAGTTAATCTATGTAGCTATTTGTTAAAAATTTGTACTTTGAAGTATTATAAAAAAGTTTTGGCAATGAAATCACTTCATTTGCTTACATTATTTGAAATGCTGGATGAGAAAATTTTTAGGCACAAGACCAAAGAGAGCAGGTTTATTACATGTTCCACACTCTGCCCCACTCTTGTCCTAATTGAAGCATGCACAATTTGCCTCATCAGGGCTGTGTACTGATTTGTCTCAGTTCTACACCAGGCCAGAGACACTGAGCATCTACTCTGCATCGCACTGTGCTGGATGGGGGACTGCGGCTGTGAGCACAGATGTGATCCTTGATCATCCACAGACGGGTATGCCCACTACTGGGGGGAAATCAGTGCTAGGTGTGTGACTGGTGAGAAGACGCTTAACTATTGAGATGTCTGTAGCAAACTTCTTTCTCCATCGTCCAAATGCAGTGGCAGCACTGCTTATACCTGGACTAACAGAGGGTTTTATGTGCCTTGCCACAATTTAAGCCCATGTACAATAGCTTAGAACTATTTCAGAAAAATGATCAAAAGTCCAGTGGTGGTAAAGAAAATTATATAAGTAGCTTTTATTTCTCATTTATATTTTTTGTTTAGGCTTGGTTTTTTATTGGGGGATGATGCAGTATACGTTGTTAAACATGTCATTTGGCTTAATATATTCATTCTTTTTCCCCTCAAGAAATAGGTTTTATTGCTGATTATACCATACAGGACAAAAAAGGAAGTAAACACTTTGCTTTTAAGAGACTAATAGAGCATGAATCCTTTTAGTAGCTTTACAATTTCTATCATAATGTTGCACGTGGAATTAGATGTCACCACAGCTAACTCAATAAAACTCTAAAAATAAGGCTGCAAATACAACTTCGCTTGTAAAATGAATGCCCTAGGCTGAAAAATAAATTGGAAAAAGGGGAAAATTTTATAAGTCTGAACTTCAGAAGAATTTGACTGATTCTCAAGAACACTGGGGAAATCCATTTCCGATGGTTAAAACTGTACTTATTTGACTTTCTAGAAACATCTGTGAGAGAGATTATGCTTCTGTCTCCTCTTAAATTTCAGCTCCTCACACCCACCACAGGCTGGATTCTCAGAAGGTATTTGAAGAATTTTAGATTGCCTGGATGAGGTGCCACAAAAATGATTGTTCCTGATTGCTCTTAAAGACTGAGCTTGTGTTCCCAACTAATCGACTGATTGTAGGTAGGCAACTTAGGTTTGCTTCATTCTGTTTAACTTAAAATTACTTTCATAATTTAATGATTTTCTGTTGGATTTTGATAGTTATGAAATTAAATATATTGCCATTTTATTTAAACATATATATGTAGTGTTCATACACACATAAAGCTAGAAAATTAGCTGTGTTCTTCTACAATAAAATATAGCCCAGTTGACATCGATTTAATAGTGTATCTTTGGATTAAAGAGATGACTCAAACAGATTTAAGAGGTTTTTATTTTTGTGTTTTATTTTTTTCTCCCAACAAGGATGATTGCTGTGTAGGGAGTCATAGGCCAGGTGGGGAATCCTTTCAAAGAAGAGCACAGAGCTCAGAATGACAGAAAACATGAAGTCAAGTGCTGAAGCTTCTGTTCTCCTCTGTAATAGCTCTATGTGAAATTTGTTTCTAAAAAATTTGTTATACTTGATAATATTTACTGAGTATTTTGTGTTGTCAATAGAAAAATTAATGTTATTACAGATGCGCTATTTGAATAGAATATATCAATGAGCTGTAAAAAAAAGTCTCATTGTTGGCAAAATAAAAATTTTTGAATAATTAAATATAAAAAATTCTATTTTCAGCAGCTATAATATCAGAATACGTAGCAAACTATAGGAGAGAGTACTTACTTATGTAAAATATTCAGTATCTTCCCCCAAGATAGTCAATGGTTTTGTTATTTATTTCAATGATTTAATTGTGAAGGATAAACAAATACTTTTTATTTTGACAAGTATGGCTCTAACATACTTCTTACTTTGCCAGTAAGTAAAAGTCGCTAGGGGGTATTAACTCTGCATCATTTACTGACCTAGAATTTTGATTAAGGAAAATTAGTGTAGCTAAAATGTATCCAACTTCATATCAAGAAATGCTAACATTTTAAGACATCATATTCATAATTTGAAGAGGACGCTATCTTTTTTTGCTAAGGAAGTTTTATCTGTGTTTCCTTATTTTATCTGTGTTTCATTATTATTAATAGGTTCTCTTAATTCATTAAAATTCACTTTTGTTAAGAATTTAGAAGAGTGTTTTTGTTATTACTGTGGGTCTAACATTTCTATTTTTTAAAATTTATTTATTTTATTAGTACATGTTTGCAGTGCATAATGATCACATTCATCTTGAAGTCTGTACATGTGCATAACACATCTGTGTGTGTTTGCTTGTGTGTGTGCATGCATGCATGTGTGTGTGTGTGTGTGTGTGTCTCCTACTTCTCCTCTACTTCTAAGTCATTTCTCTCTCCCCTCCTTTGCCAAAAGGTCTAAATTTGGGGCCATACTCAGTAATTACCAGCGGTTTGCTGTTTGGCAAATTATTTAACTTTTCAGACTCATTTCCTTCATGGATGGGAACAAAGCTGTGGAAGACATTTCCTACATAACTAACAAGCGAATGTGCCATGCACGGAATCACAGGCCACACGTGAGAGCAGGAAGAACTGCTATGGGCAACAGAAAGGGTAGCTCACAACAGGTGGAAACTGACCACTAGCCTTAAAATGAAGCTACAATGAAAGATGGCACACAAAATTTGCAGCAGGAAAAACTCAAGATATCTTAAATTGCCTGGCAAGTGCAAGGTCCTGAGTCAGATTACTGGTACCCGAAAAAATTTTTTTAGAAAGATATCTTAACTATAACTCCCAGCAGGTGGTCCTTGACTCCCCTTTTGGATATATAAAACAAGGGATGAGGTTTTTCCTCTTTCCCAATGAGTAATCACCTGTAACTTCATACTTGTAATTCATTCTCATTGTTCTAATAAGTTTTAAGGAAGTATAAATATCGGGGCTTTTTGCTCATGTCTATAACTCTGTTTTTCTATTTTTTATGACCTGTTCTCCTTTAATTTGCCACATATTCTGATTTTATAGCTGCTGGAAATAGTACTGCTTTTAAATTTAATCATTCAAAAAGTCTTGATTAAATTTTATTTTTTTACCCTTTATTGAGATTTTCTATTCAAATACCACTCTGTAACAATACCATTGTCCTATGGACAACACAAGACACTCAAACAAGAGTAAAATTATCAAGAATAACAATTTTTTGCAACTGCATTTTACACAAAGCTGAGTATTACAGAGTATTAGTGGAGCTTCAGCACTTGACTTTATGTTTTCTCTAAACCGGCCCAATGAGAACACCTCATCCGGCCTGCAACTCCCTTAAAAAGAGTCAGCCCTTTCTAAACACTGTACATACCATATTTCTAACACGAAGCTTCGTCTCCCCATATTATAAAGTGTCACAGATTTAAATTTCTTGTCAAGTGTCTTTGTATGTGTATTTTCTGGGGGCTGAACGCAAGGCCTTGTACATGCTAAACACAAAGTCTACACCAACCTACAACCTTAGCCCATGGCCCATATTTAACACAGTTGGTAATGCTTTTGTCTTTAATAAAATGTGCCTAGAACATGTGCAGGTTCAAAGTGCTCTCAGGCCTCCTGCTGAGCACCAGTGGATCCTTTGCTCTGTGCTTTCTTCTCTTCTAACTGTGCTCATTCATTCAGCGGATTCCCCTAGAAGGCCAGTCTTGCTTCATCATGTCACTCACTCCAGTTCACCCTTGGGAGTCTCTTTGCTCTCACTGTGTTCCTTACTCACCTCTACTGGAACAGTTTTTAACTAATCTAGTTATTGATTTATGTTTCCCAGCCTCCACCCAACTATGGTTCTATAGTGGAAGAGCAAATCCCACATTTGTGCATTCATAGTAGGTAAAAGATACTTGATGTTTGTTAAATGGCCAAGTACCTACATCTTATATTAAAAAGGGACTTGAGTATTTCTTAGAAATTAAGCAGGATGATTTGGATTTTCATCTCCTTTGTTTTCTGTAGGTTCTGATCAGCATGGTGCCTGCCTTACTGATTCTTTTGGGGGCCATAGAGACACTGCAAACAGATACACTTCCTGACAAAAAGTGTAAGGGCTTTCTAATCAATAATGTTACTTTAAAAAAAAAAATAGTATGTTACAAAAGGGTAGGATAATTTCTGCTGAAATAAACTTACATTTTAGAAAAAAAATTAAAAAGAATATCTTTGTAAGAACCAATATTATTCAACATGTTATTTTTTAAGAAAACATTTGGAGATATTTAAATTTATGTTGCAGTAGGAAATCCAACTTCAAGTGTGCATGTACAGCCACTTTTATGATATCCTCCCATACAAGATGTTGGTTAGAGGATCTCACAAAAAATAATTAGAAACTTGCATGTTTTGCTTTGAAAATTGTCGACCTATGGATCTGATGTGATGACAAAAAGTGTCATGTGGTCCTGAGTTAGTATGGTCTAAAAGACTTTCTGATAAAGGCAACATTCTGTCACTGATTTTCTAATGAGTGGAGTAGCCACTATCCGTGTTTCACTATTGAGCACCTGAAATACACATAGTACAACTGAGGTCATGAACATTGGATTTTATTTAAATGCATTTAAAGTTAAATAGCCACAGTAGCCAGCAGCTAACACAATACATAGTACAGTACAGACAAGCCCTAAAATGTCTTGTGTGGCAAGTGGGCTGCAGACTCGTGGACGGCCCTTTAAGATCAATGGAAAATCCTGACAACTTAGTGAGTAAAAGAAGGTTCATTGTGGTGTGTACAATATTGCATTAGTTTTGTTTAAATAATTAAAAATCTGTATACATATACACACAGAAAAATGTAGTGAAGATACCATGTCATTAATAATAAGACTGCAAGAAAGTTTTATTTTCTTTTTCTCCAATTTATAAATTTTTATAATAATCAAATGTTAATTTTGTAAATAAGGTAACACTTACTTTGAAATCAAAGAGTGGTGCATGAAGAGGGGAAAAGCCTTTTTTTTATATAAAAGCCTGTGTAAGTAATTATTTTCACACATACCTTTGACTGACTCATAAAAAATATACTTTACACCATGGACTATTGCTCATAAACATACATGTACTGTTATATAATGCAAACAAAAGGTTGATGAGGCAGCTCTTATTATGTGTGATGCATTTTGGCACTTTCTGTTCTATTTTTCTTCCATATTAATAAAAATGTCAGTCACAACACGATAAATTGTTATCACAGCACATTCCTGGATAATTACTCTCATTTTGAAACCTGTAGTTAAAAACAATGATGTAATAAAATGTTCATATTTCAATGAAAAACATTTAAATATTATAGGTAAATACCACAGCATGGTAAAAAGATAAAATAAAAGCAATCTTGAAGAAACTTCTTCCAAAATTATTTTAATATTGTATACCTTAATAGTCTAATAAGATAATATTCTACACAATTAAATGTTTTTTAAAAATTTGAAGTGCTATTTATGTGCAGACAAATGTTATGATGCTTCATCTTTGTCTTTGTTTTTTAATCAACAGTTTTACTTCTCCCACCCATTAATTTCACTATCAAAGTTACTGGTTTAGCTCAAGTTGTTTTATGTTGGGAACCAAATCCCAATCAAGGGCAAAAGAATGTTAATCTAAACTATCACGTGAAAATAAATACTCCACAAGAAGAGGATGTAAGTATTTATTCTAGTGGCAGTTGTTTGTTAGAGCAAATAGTGATTTTCTTTCTATATTTTCTTTAACAAATGAGATTTTAAACAGACAATTATTAGAGAGAGTCTTGCTATATTATCAGAGGGTAGTATCTCAGCGGAAATAACTCAGCAGCATGTTATAGTCTATCTTTGGGACAGTCTTTCCCTTATGAAAGAACATTTAGTAACCTTGTAGATGCAGTGGATTAAATACTGGCTTATGTTTCTTCTAAAAGAGAAAGAAGACTTTTGAGTGAGTAGCCTAATAAAGTGGGGAGGGAGTGGGGACAGAGTCAAAGAAATCAAGTGTAAAGCACAGTTCATTCACTTCCTGTCCATGCCAGAACAGACCAGTGGTTGATTTCTTGGAGATTCATGTAACTGTAGGTACTGTCAAAGCAGCTGCTGCATACTAGGAGCTTAATCAAGACAAAGGGAAAGTGACTCCTATTAACTGTCTAGCAGTAAAGAGGAAATTCTCGAGACTTCTAGTTCTGGGGAGGGGACTGGCACTAGAAACGGGGATCACAGGAAATTTCAATATTATCTCTGCTTTTATAAAGAGAATGTGTTCATATGTCATTAAAGAGTGATGTAATTATTACAATGGTTTTACTTCTTTCTACCAAAACTACTGTCATAGTATTTTACTTCTGTGTAATTTGAAAAGTGAAAATAAGGAATATTTGATTAAAAATTGTTCTGTTAAGACTATTTCTCTCGTATATGTTTTGATTTGTGGGTTTTATTTTTAGTATGAAACCAGGAACACTCAAAGCAAATGTGAAACCACCCTGCACCAAGGTGTTTCAGCAAGTGTGCGCACCATCCTGTGGCACGGCCACTCCCTTCTGGCCAGCAGCTGGGTTTCTGCTGAACACAAAGCCCCACCAGGTAAAAACTCAGCGGCCTCTAAAAGTCTTGCTTTATATTTTAGACTTTTCAAAGTGGTAAAGTCAGTAAAATAGGCACGATTTTCATTTCTTTAGTCAATGGCCAGTTCCTGTGGGTGCTCCTGCATACCATCTACACTCTACAAGGCCGTCCTCACTTATTATGACCCACCTGATTCTGTCAGGCACAGCCCTTGAAAGAATGCTTGCTGTGTCTACATTGGCCACAGTGCAAAGCCGGTGTTTCTGATATTTAGAACTACAGGTCTAGCGATCCAGTAACATTTCTGGAAACACGAAAACACACACACGCATGCACACATGCACGCATGGAGAGAGGGAGGGAGACAGAGGGAAGGAAACAAGAGACAAAAAAGATGAAGGAAGCAAGGAAAAGGGGAAGGGAGGGCCTGGGACCTGTGAGTGTACCTAATAACAGCTGTTTCCACCCATATAACCCAGGGGTATCTTTCAAATTATTCTCTTATCTGCATCCTGTATATCATGCCTCCTCTGTGAAGATAACTGAGATAATCAATTTACAAAGACAGTTTATTTCGGCTCGTGCTTTCAGGGGCCCATCCTTGCTAAGTGGGCCCCACTGCTTTCAGACCATGTGGTGAGGCGGTGCATGATGGTGGAAGTGCATGGTAGAGGGAAATTGTTAGAGAAGAAGGGGCCGGGTGCCTACTATCGCCTTGAGGTTCCGGCCTCAGAGACTCAAACACTTCTCTCACTAGGCCCCAACCCTTAAAAAGCCTACCATGCAGCAATAGTGCCATGGGCTGGAGAACCAACCATCAATAAAATGAACTTACACTTTTTCTAGCCATGGCACTTCCTGAATTGTGCTGTGACTGAGAGTAGTAAAAATCTTATTTATTCATTATAGCAAATCATTTTGACCATATGTCTGGCGATTTACAATGGGTTTGTTCTCAAGTAAAGAAGTTAACTCAAGTTATGTGAACGGTCATATTCTACATTTCTATAGTGGAGAGCTGGAATATTTATGCATTATGCATATTTTGAGGGGGGTCCTTTGAGAAGGGTCTTGCTTTTTAGTGCAAGCTAGCCTTGAACTCACTATGTAGCCTAGGCTGTACTCAGATTCACAGTAATCCTCCTGCCTCAGCCTCCCAAGTGCTGGGATTCCAGGTGTGTACCACCACACCCAGCTTACACAATGCAGTTTTCAGCACTGAATTTATGCAGTTCTATTTATTTTCTCAGTACCTCAGTACAGGCTGACACTAATGAAATATTTCTGTCTTGAAGCAAATAGAAATGCATACTAAATAATTTCCTTAAATGAAAATTGTGAGACAAGCTGATTTATAAACTCTAAAGTAAACTTGAGCATGAATAACCTGATTATTTAGTGTGTTGGGACACACACAGGTACACATACAGTTGGCCTTCTGTACTACAAATTCCATATCAATATAGTCAGATTACTTTAGATTAAAAATATTCTAAAACAAATCATCACCTCTGTACTGAGCATGAGGAGATTTTCTGTCATTATTCCTTAATATAAGCATTACTTACATAGCATTTACATTGTTTTAGGTATTATAAATAATATAGAGATGGTTTAAACTATATGGAAAGAAAAACAGTTTCCATGCAATACTATATTGATTCACTTAAGAGTGGCTTAAGGTATGGAGGAGGTACTCTTGAACAAATTCATGAAGATATATATAGAGGAATGACTGTATATATAACAATAGGTATATATAATATAGACATATGTGTATTACCAAGAAAACTGACTTTAGTCAGTCTTTGGCTTTTAACTTCTTTGCAGATAATAGGAGGTTCTTTTGCTTTACTTTCTTCCCCTAATCCTAAGAGGCTAAACAGTTATTTTTAAAAATTCACAGCTGCCTTAAACTAAACTAAAAAGTGCTCTTGAATCTTTCAAGGCTCCTACTTTGGTGATGCCTTGATGCTAGGCTCAAAATATTTTTTGATTTCTCTGAGCAACCCCACTAAGACCAGAGTTTCCACTATGCTCTGAAGAGCAGCAGTTAATAGGTTTCCAAGAGGAACTGAAAAGAAAACACGGCTTTCCACTCTCCCCACTTACATGATATTGGGAAATCATAGATGAAACATAAAGGAGTTTAATTTAAAATCTCCATATTTGCTTACAGTCCTACTACTATATATGAGAGCAGATTTTAACATGCTAGTGTGCTTTGAGTCTTCAAAGTCATGGTGTTATTTTGCAAAGTTACCATAATTCATTTCCTTCTAAACATCAATCTATGTAATTCATGAAACTTTGGGATACAAATCAATGAATTGTACAATTCTGGGATGGAAAGAGGTACTTGAGACTTTCTTTAACAAATCTAATTTATACTGGAAAAAATATGATTCAGAATTAGTAGTGCTAAGGTTTCACAAATTATTGACAAATGTGGTATTAGAATGCTGCGATTGCTGGACACTTAATCTCTAAATGACAGTGTGGGATACTGCTCTTGACCTTTTGTATATGTTCCTCATGAACATGACCCCCACAAGCCTAGCTAAAGTACAGTAGCTGAAAACTTCTTTGATCTCAGAACCCAGGGCTTTGTAATTCTACTTTCAAACCTCCTGGCCCTTTGCAAATAGATTTCTATACATAGGTGGTTTAGTTGCTTTTTGCTGTTGTGTAAGACACTCACAATCACTTCAATCTTGAAGTACAAAACCCAGAAGCTATCAAAACAATGTTTTATTCTTATTTTCAACCACCTAGGGTCTCCTGGAACCTCAATTGTGAATTTAACTTGCACCACAAACACTGCAGCAAGTAATTATACAAACTTAAAGTCATATGAAGTTTCTCTTCATTGCACCTGGCTTGCTGGCAAGGATGCCCCTGAGGACACACAGTATTTCCTCTATTATAGGTTAGTACCTATTTTTACTTATGCAAACAGGTTGCTTCCTCTAGCCTTATATAACTCATGAATGCTAAAATTTAGATACGGCCCTTGGACTGAAGAATGTCAAGAATATAGCAAAGATACACTGAGCAGAAATACTGCATGCTGGTTCCCAAGGACTTTTATCCATAGCAAAGCACGTGACAGGCTTGCAGTGCACGTTAATGGCTCAAGCAATCATGCTACAATCAAGCCCTTTGATCAGCTGTTCGATACACAAGCCATTGGTAAGACAGACCAATACAAAGCCAAAATAACTGAATCATAGAATCTCACCACTGGAAAAGGTTTGAGTATAATTCTGATGCTCAGTAACCATCCAACCCGTGCTTGAAAAACACTGCAGCAGGGTTTCTCAGCTTGAGAACTACTGGCATAGGTATATCTTGGATATCATAGGATATTCTGCTTCATTCTTTTCACTACTATGAGATACCAGTGAGGTATAACCCTATCAGCCCTCACTGGTGACCAAAATACCTCTTAGTCATTGCCAAATTTCCTCTTAAAGGAGAAAATTTCCCCCAGTTTAGAAAGACAGTACCAGGAGGAGCGATTCACTGCTTCTGAGAGCCCATTCCATCTCTGATCAGCTCTGATTGATTTTGTGAAATTTCTGCCTTAGGTCCTGTGATGGGGCTCTTTCCCCACAGGATGGGCTCTCAATGGTTCAAAAGTGGCCAAGTTTCCTATGCTAAGACCTTTCTTCTCTGAGCTAACTGTGCATCCTAACCCATTCCCCAGGCATAACTCTTACTACCCCTCACCATTCTGGCCCGGCTCCGGCTGTTCTCAAGATACAATGTATACCTTGGCCTCTAGTTTTCAGTACTGAACATATTACTAAGGTTTCATCTACTCAGTTCTCAAAACAGAAGCTGTCGCCCCTCATCCTAGATAGTTTTATTAATGAAACCCATCAGGAACCCATCACATAGAATTGTTTCACACTAACAGCCAAGGTATCAGTGTTGGAGTGTTATTATCGTGAGACACAGAACCAGACTGCCTACACTTAGACTGACCATACTTGGCTTTTCTACTGACCAGATGAATGACTTTAGATGAGCTGATTATTCCTTGGTTCTTTGTCTTATAGAAAAAGCAGGGACAAGTGAATACTTTCTGTGAGGTTTTTTTGTGAGAATTGTTATTAAAGTTGTTAATACAGTACCTGGCATAAAAATTCAATAAATGTAGGCTGGGTGTAGTTCTGCACACCTGTAATCCCAGCACTTGGGAGACCGAGGTAAGAAGATTACTGTGAGCTAGAGGCCAGCCTGGGCTACATAGTGAATTTAAGTTCAGCCTTGACTACATAGCATGACCTTGTCTCAAAAGACAAAAAAAAATCAATAAATACACTAAAGAATTTTTTTTTGGTCTTTTTTCCTTTTTATCGGTACCAGGGATAGAACTCACGACTACCTGCTTGCAAGGCAGGCGCTTACGCCGCTGAGCTAAACCCCCAGCCCCCACACTAAACAATTATTAAAGGAGATAATTTGGCTTGTGACATTAATATTAAACAGAGTATAACTTTTGTTAAAGAATAACAGCTCTGACAAAAGAGGCTCTCCAATTCTTTTCAATAGTGTCTTTTGTAGATGATCAGAAAATGTTGCTTTCATGAAAACAGGTGATAGGACATGCTGAGGGAGACCTGGAAACCAACAATACAAAAAGGGATAGACATGATATAGACTAATTTATTTTATAATTTTATGAAAGTCCTAAGATTACTAAAAAAAAAAAGTACATCCTTGATAAGAAATGTATTCTTAGGAAATGGCTGGATCTGAAACCAGTAGATACCAGTTGTAGGTTTGTCTTGTAATCTCACAATCTCATTAATTGTGAGATCTAAATCACATAATCTAAGATAAAGTACATTCCTATAGAAATAATTTTCACTAAATTCACATAGTCATGAAACAACCAAACCTCATGGGAAAAAACTCTATAGTCAGTAAAGACATTCAGTTTACCCTATTTTTCATGCACAAGAAAACTAAAGCTTCCTGTTCTAGCCTCCAAACAAAACAAAACACTGCAGTTAAAAAGGGGGAAATGATTTGTGCAGGCAGGGCTTGGTGGTTGCTCCAGAGCAATGTTTCTTCCATGGTCAGGTTTATCTTGAGCATGATCTAACTCAGAACCTTAAAGTGATGTGGAGTGAATCAGCAATAAACTGAGAATAAGCAATGCTATCTAGAATAGACATCTTTTAGTTTATAACAGGGGTCTCTCCTCAGCGCTACAATACAGTGCTCTTTTTGGTAGGCCACCAAGTTCCTGTGGCTTGGAGATCAGTTGATTATTACATGATGACCAGCCTGGGGAGGAACACATCTTAGAGAAATGCTGAAGTGTGAGTGGATAGGAATTGTCAGTCCTGACCGCTAAAGAAATGTGAGTGACCTCTCATTCTCTAACCAGATCAACCAAACCCTCCAATGGATGTCACAGCAGAGACTGAAGGATCTCGTCTCTCCATCCAATGGCAGAAACCAGTTTCTGCCTTTCCAATTCATTGCTTTGAATATGAAGTGAAAATCTGTAACACGAAGGATTATTATCAGGTAATTATTCAGATCATTTTAATATTCATGATAGATCCTAATTTTAGAAGCATTGAAAAATTATATTCAGCAACTGCTCTGGTTACAACTTCATGCTAACAAGGTCAAAATTAACTTATAGCTACCTCCGGTATTACAGAAATAAACCAAATAGTACAGACCTTTTGTTTTTAAAGGAGATATTTTTGGTTGGAAATAATACAAAAGATCAGACTAAATTTTTTTTTGGTACTACTTTGACTTAAAAGGTAAAATGGTACAGATGCTCTGGAAAACAGCAAGCTGAGTTATCAAAAAAGAAAGCAGAAAAATAGAATTATGAGATAAGCCAATAATTCCACTTCTGGGCATATATACATATAACAGAATTCAAAACAAGGTCTCAAAGAAATGTGTGGACATGTTCATAGCAACATTATCCATAGTAGTTCAAAGATGGAAGTAACACAAATGTTCATTAACAAACAGATAAATAAAAAATCTCTATGTATATTTATACATATGTAATATAATATACATATTTCAGCCTTTGAAGGAAGGCAATTCTAATGCATTCTACATCATGAATGAAACATGAGGACATTATACTAAATGAACTAACTCAGTCACAAAAAGACAAATATTATATAATTCATTTTATGAGGCACTTAGAGTAGTCAGACTCAGAAATAGAAGAACAGTGATGCCAGGGAACGATGTTGGGGCATACACTGGGGAACTCTATAATGGATGGGGTTTCACCCTCATGCCCCACCTAGTCCTGCTACGTGTTTAGGTGTTAGGAACTGAACTCAGGGCCTCCTGCATGGTAAACTCCACCTCTAACATGATAAAACTACCACTAGCATGGTTACTATAACATGGTAAAACTCTAAACTAACTAGAGTTTGAGTTTATATGCTGAGGTTTATTATATTTGTTTATTATATCCCAACAATAACTCTAGTACGTAATTATCTTCCATTTGACAAAAAAGTAAAGCAAAAAGAGACAAAATAACTTGCCAAATTGTTTCAAAGCTAGAGAAAACAAAACCAAACAAAAATAAAATGACACATCAGGATTCAAACTCATGTCATACTGATAGAGACAAAGAAAATTCGATTCTATTCAAAAAATTTTTACAAATTGGCTTCTTGGTGGGAGATATATCTGTAAATAAGCCTGTATCTGCAGTAGAGGTACCTAGTTTAGTAGGCATTCAGGCTAATGCAAAGACAGCGGAGAGAGCCAGTGAAACAACCTTCTGGGGACTGTATAGAGGGGAAGTGAGTGGAACCAGCAGTGAGAAACAAAAACCTTGCCTGGTAAGAGAAGAAGAAAAGGATTTTCTTAGCCTGTGCTTTCTGAAACACCAACAGTGAAGGATGAATTACTTTTGTAAATTTTTGATCCTGCATGAATTTGTGTTTTTATAAAATACAATAAAAATGATTTGCTAAAAAAAATATAATCAAAGACATGTAAAATACATTCTGATGGGTCAGGTGCATGGATGTCATAGTAATGTCAAAAGACTGAAAATTTCTAAATTATAGTCTCCATATCTTTTTTATGCTATTGTAGACCAATAAACAGTTCCTGGCCTGTACCAGGTTATCCACCGCACTGTGCCAGCAGGGGTATAAGACAAAGGAGTGGCTCAAAGGGTTCCTCGAGCCAGGTGGCAATAATTCTGTTCATCTATATATAAAAATAACAGTGCAATTGTAACTGTCTTTCCTGATAACTTCTCCCAGAGTGGCTCATGGCTGTAAAAAAATAAAACATGGCCATAGACAATGGGAAGCCATAAAGCGTTTTGCATGACAGAAACATGACATTTGCAGAGAATAATCAGTTAGGTAGTAGCATAAAAGCTGGATATACGTAGTGAAAAGCCCATAGATATGAAGCTGTATGTTAATGGCTACAGCCCAATAGTTTAAGCAAAAGATTATGAAAGCTAAAATAGGCAGTGGCCATGGAACAGGAATGAGAAGGCCAGAAACACATCCAGGGGATATAAGATGTGATCAAGGACACATCCTTCATTTGGAGCATAGCAGGTTTGCTGGATGGTTGTGACACGGACCAGGAAACAGAAAAAAGAAGACTCACTTTTGGGATCACAGTGTCATTCTAACATGAGATAATCTAGTGTTAATCTAAAGTGTCCGTGGCAAATTGTTACTTACTGAGAATATATTAAGTCAACCAAAATTACTCGTTATACAGGTCAAAGAATGGTTGAATATTGGCAATTTTTATTTGGTTTAAACCAATACCATCTTAGCTTTGGCTTGACATCAGCAACTCCAACTAACTCAACCACCCATGCCTTTGGTTGTGGGTTTGTTTGTTTTGGTACTGATGTTTACACCCAAGGCCATCACACTCAGCTACATCTCTCTCCTTATTTATTTTTTGAGACAAGCTGGGCTGAAGCTTGTGGTCTCACTGCCTCAGCCTCCCAGAATGGTGGTATTATAGGCTATCACACACAACTTATCTTGAGTACGCGTATTCCAATTTTATGAATGAGAAGATGAAGGCCCAGCAAGGTTGAAGAACTTGTCCTGCAGTTAACTGAAGACAGAGCCAGCACTACCTTACTCATTTCAACTCAAGATCACTGCTCTTTCTACTTTCCTATGAACTCCTCATCCTTCTGTCCCCAGTTCCATGGCTATAGTTATTTCAGTATATTCTTATATCAGAGCTCCGTAAATTACATAGTACATACAGTGTGTCGTGCTTTGCAGATCATACAGTTTCTGTCACAGTTACTAAGCTCTGCCATCATAAAGGAAAACTAGCTTGGAAAATAGACATAAATGCATAAGGCTGTGTTCCAGGAAAGCTTTATTCATGCATACTGAAGTGCAAATTATGTGTAATTTTCATGTCACATGAAATATTCACTTTGATATTTTTCAAGCCATTACAAATATACAATCCATCCTTAGTTGATCAGCTATCTGAACTCAGGCAGCAGGTCACAGTTTCCTGACATCAGCAGAATATAATGGAAACTGTAACACTGTTGAGGGATGTGACTTTGGAACACGAAGGAACAAGGTAAAGTGGATCATGTGTGCTTGTAAGAGCTACTCCAATCTTTGATTCTGAAAGATTAACTGGGCCCAGAGGACATCACCTAGGCTCTACAATTGACCACTTTATATATTTTGATTATAAGGGTGACTGCCAACATATCACTGATAGAAGTCTGGAATAAGCTAATTATCATGTATCCAACTGATTTTTAAATTCCTTGCTAAACAGAAAGTCATATTACTTATAGATGACCTTTCAAGCTGAGAATTGGCATAAAATGTGTTTCTGGAGAGTCTTATAATGCTAATTTTTAGGTGGAAAAGACAACAACCAATGCATTTGTCTCCACAACGGATGGTGTTTCTAAGTACTCCATTCAAGTGAGAGCAGCCGTGAGCCCCCACTGTAGAGCCATGGGGCTATGGAGCAAGTGGAGTCAACCTGTTTACGTGGGTGAGTTTCTGAGAACAGATAATCCCAGAAGACATACACATCTGCTCATGGGGCATGAAATGGTTTTGCATGTTGGCTTGCCTCATCTTCTACTGGTCTGCAGGTGGATTTTCCAAGAAGCCAACAAAGCTTAAGCATTCAACTTTCCTGTGAGCAGAAATCTTTCTCAGGCCATGTACCTGATCTTTGTTTTTATCTTTCCCTCCTAGTTGTTTCTGTTTCTCAGGCCTTTTCTCTATTTTTTTTTCAAGTCTTTGATGGAAACTGACTTGATATGCATCAGATCTGACATATCCACAGGGACTAATGGATCACAGCCTAACAATTTCTTCCCTCTCCCTCTCTTTTCCTTTCTTGTTTTTTTTTTCTTTAAATGGAGTCTCATTATGTAGTTCAGGCTGGCCTGGAACACACTACAAGCCCATGTGGGCCTCAAACTTGCAGCAATTTTCCTGACTCAGTCTTTTGAGTGCTAGGATTACAGGTGTGCACCACCATGCCTGGCTTGCCTGAAAATTTCTTGAAGTCTGAGTGAATGAATTGCATCATAGAAAATCTTAGCAATCCAAATTTTTAGATTAAACAATATAAGATTATTGTAGCTTCAGACTCTGTTGTAAAAAAGTAGAGATCCTATCCTCCACTCAGTTTCTCCCAAGAGTAACATGTTGCAAAACTATAGTGCAATATAACAAGTAGAAAATGACACTGAAAATTAGTGAGAGTCCATCAGTTTCCTATGTACTCATCTTGGTGTGTTGAGTTTTTCAGAGATGTGGCTCTGGAGAATCCTAGCGCACACTTCACTTCATGAATCAATCACCTCAGTTAGGATGCAAAAGGGCTCATCCCCGTAAGGATCACTCATGTCGCCCTTTTGTAAACCCACACATCTCTCATCCTCTCTATCCCTGACCTCTGGCAATTATTAATCTGCTCTTCATCTCTAGAATGTTCCCATATCTAATTCTGAGTTCAGACTGTTGTTTCTTTTCTTAAAGAAGATTTCAAAATGGAATCATCTTCAAGGCCCACAAAACCTAGATTCATTCCAGACAGAAGATCTACAGGTTTGAACATCTCCTGGGCTCTTAGGTTGTTTCTGCAGTGGTTTTTGCTTATGATCAAACAGTAGTTTGCTTGGTAAGTAAAAGGAACACCTCACCTGTTGGTGGTATTTATCAATAATAATGGCTATTGGACGGTGGCCCCATCAAGGTCAGAATCCTACCTCAGAAGCCAGTTATTGCTTGACTTTTAAAGCTACAGTCAGTGTTGATTGTAGAGTTAGAACTCATGGGTTGAAAAGGAAACATTAAACATCAGGAGATCTAGGTTTTAACCACAGCTCTACTAACATCTAACTCTATGACACAAGTTAGAGATGGCAACAGATAATATTTTCTGAGCCCAACTATCAGAAACTGCTTATCATACAGTGTTGAAAAGGAGTCTAACACTAGGCTTAGGTCATCCTAGGGAGCCATGACCTACCACTACTGCAGAGGACAGAATAGTGACCAGCATGCTAGGCTTTTGCCAGCCAAATCTAGCCTGGCACACTTAACCCCTCTGGGCCTCAGTTTCTTCACTCATACAATGTGAGTACCACTCTCTCCAGTTGCTTCTAACTGTGCCACTAATGTGCTGAGAATGAAATTATGATTCACCATGAGAGAGTATTTCAAGCTTGTTTTAAATTTATTATTCATTCTCCCCTTCAGAGCTTTCTCACCATTATTATTTCCTAAAAAACAGCTTCCTAGTTTGGATCTGGGCTCATTATAGTTTCACCCCAAGGTGTGCCTCATTGCTATTATCTATTTCATTTACTGCCACCCATTTCATGAAGGTGAGCTGATTAATATTAGTACCTACCTTATGAATCCATCCTTTCTGGAATTTACTCTCTTATTCAGTTTAGGGATCATTAGTGATTTTAATCAATGCAGACTTTCCATTTTCATCAAGATGATTAATAAACATAATAGGAAGTCCAAGCCTCTTGGGGACATTTTGCATGGCTCTTCCTTACCTCTTGAGGATGAAGCAATAATTATGCTCAGCTTGCAGTCTATCAGGCAATTTTGCCGCTAAACACTCATTTCCTTTTAATACTCTTCCCCTCTCCTTCCTTGCCTTATAAATAGCACTCCGGAGCCCTCCTCTTCCATTTTCATTTCGAGGTATAACTCAAATAACACCCCTTCCTTACACGCATTAAGTCCACCTCTTTATTTTAATTAAGGTAAGGAAATGAAGGCCCAGAGATAGTAAATGTCTCAGTAGTTGTCAAACAGCCAAGAAGTGACTATTAAAGTACAATTTCCTCAAGTAGGTGACATATGAGCCAATTAGCAAATTAGAATAGATTCAGTTAACTAAATTAACCCATTATAGCCCAAGATAATTTCATAAGCAATTAGAGGTAAGTTTGATTAACGAGATGGGGCAGAAGTAAACGTGGTTGCTTCCTGCTCTTCTTGGCAAAGTCCTTAGTCAAGTCAGGAGGCACATGGGGTGCCTGCCCTGAACTATGCCTTTGGTCTCCCTTTGTGTTCTAGGGTATCCAGAGAATGATTTTTCCGTCCAATGGAAATAGCAGTTTTACTTTATCAGTACTGTTATCAACTGCCCTTTATCAGTGGGTGTCTGTTTCAGGACTGGTACTTCCCAATTTTCATGAGACTTTTTCCTTTTCAAAGTTTCTTAACTTCCGGATTCTTCTGTTGCTTTCTTATCTTTGTTATCGCCTGTTTACTGAAACCTTTTGTTTCCTGAGTCAGATCTTAGTAAAGTTTTTTGTTTCCTTAAACTTAATCTTCTCTCCCCTCCCTGACACTCACATGCCAAGTGTGAGACAAGCAATTATGAAAATGGATTTCCCACAGTTCATTCCCCATGGAAGAGAGACTGCTGGCTGAATTTATTTCCAGCTGAGTTCCTGATCAGGCTCAGACATGATTCTCAGTGATGATCTCAAAAACGATCAACAATCCTTAAATTTTGTTCCGAATTCACTGGAAGCAGTATCTGATGGCCAGGACCAATAGGGCAGTGCTGTAAGACATTGATTAGAAGGCGTTTTTTAAAGTTTTCCTGCAGCATGAGATGCATGGCACTTCCCCTCAAGGAGTAAGACAAGATCCACCCAGCCTTCGCATCACTTAGGCATGTGACCCTGGCTGGTGGGTGCCTTCTCTCTTTTGGGGTATCTCATTCAGGGACAACACATGTCACTCATTGGAAATTCAGGCCTTTGCTCTCTTGTGGTGGTTTGAGCTGGGCTGGGGTGGGGGGCTGTAAGACTGACATGAACATCTAAACTTTGGTGTACCTAAGGAGAATAAATGAGGCAGAACATGAGGGTGAGCGGCAGGAATACGGGCTAAAATACAAGTAGAGTCACTTGGAGGAAACTCCCATGCCTTCTTGCTTTCTTTCACTTGACACTGATGACTAATACGTGAGGAAGCCTGGTAATTCTGTCCTGGGTGCATGGAATTAAAGGCTGGATGGAGGAAACGGAGTCATACGTGAAACCAACATGGAGAGGTTTTTTGGTTTTCTTATCCCTCTTTCACTTTACACGCTACCTGCACAGTTTCCAAGGTCCAAGAGCTCTAGTCCTCTCCCCCTCTTCACTTTTGTGGCTGTATTATTTCCATCTCCTCCTCAATCCCACCAGCTTTTTTGTTTTAAATTTTACACTGTGATAAAGCAGACCAAGAAAAAGAAAAAAGGCCTACCTTAGCTTTCCCTAGAGCTCTTCACAAAAGAATTCCGTGCCACTTTCCTGAGGTAAGAGATAAGAACCTCTGAGTCAACCCAGTGGCAAAATTGTTGGAAAAGTGCAAATAGGTAGCCAATAGTGTGAAAACCCCACTTCTGCTACCTTTGACTGTGATACTTATGATTCTGGGCTTTTCTTTGCATATAGGGGATTTCAGGTAGCTGAACACTGTAGTTGGTTTGGTGACTCCACTTCCTCTTACCCAGGCTCCTGTGGTTTCCATGCTGGTTAGACCCAGTCTAGTGGCACAGTGCTCAGCAGGGGAGTAGGACTGAATTAGTCTTGCAGTTGTCCCACTGTCCTAATGGAGGACTAATGGGGGAGCCTTCAGATTCTGTCCTCAAGTGCTGGGAGTAGGGAATTGCTACTGTGCTTTAGGCAATGGCCACCTTTCCTAGTGTCCACACCACCCTTCCCTGCATATATTGTGCCTCATGATGGGTCTGCCAGATGACACATGAACTCAGGAGGATTGACTCTCTCACTGGGTGGCTACATACTATGTTTGGCACGCCAGCCTACATTATCTTGTGAATCTACATAAACCTGACTTTTCTAAAGTAAGAAAATAAATGTCCACTCATCCACCTACTAAGTGGTGGCCTAAGTTTCGAACTCAACTATAAGGCTGACTTTACATCTGTTTCTGGGAAGCTCTATTGCCTTGTGAGTTATTATCCTAGCTATACAGACTGAGGCAGGAGACCAGGGGCTGTGGAAGTCTGATGTTCTATTTAGATAAAGCAATAGGCACAGGTTTTCAGACCTTTCAGGCTACTCTTATCTAAATGTTCATCTCCAAGTTGTCTATAATGTGAATTTTAATTGATTCTTTTTTTTCTTTTATAACTGGAATCTAACTCATGACCCTGTGCTTGCCAGGCAGGTGCTATGCCAGTGCTATATCCCCAACCCTTAATTAAGACTTTTGACAAATAGTACTTTCCATGCCTATGCCTCTTTCTCTTTTTTAGTATCTGGAATATTGGGTGTGTCTTTATCTCTCTTGATCTGTGCTTATTATTCTGAATTCTTGAGGACTGTGGTAGCACTTCAATTTTGTTTTGAATATTGAAGGAAATTATCTGGATGTCTCAGTTCTAACACAATACATTTAATCTTAATAAGTAAAATAAATACTTACTGAGAACCTACTACATACTGGCAGTGTGCCAAGAACTTTACAGGCATTAATTCATTTACTCCT